AAAAAGTCAAATAAATAACCTAACTCTACACCTAAAGCAACTAGAGAAGGAAGAAATGAAGAACCCCAGGGTTAGTAGAAGGAAAGAAATCTTAAAAATTATGGCAGAAATAAATGTAAAAGAAACTAAAGAGACCATAGCAAAAATCAACAAAGCTAAAAGCTGGTTTTTTGAAAAAAAATAAACAAAATTGACAAACCGTTAGCAAGACTCATTAAGAAACAAAGGGAGAAAAACCAAATTAAATGACTTTTTCAAAATTTAATACTTTTGTTCTCTGAGAGACACTGTTATGAGAATGAAAGGAGTAGCCACAGACTGGGGTGAAATAGTTGTGAGTCTCATATCTGACAAAGGATTTATATATCCAATACACAAGAATGTCTCTAAATTCAACAATACTAAAAGAAAATACCAGTTGAATAAATGGACAGAAAGTTTGCAGACACTCACCAAAGATGATATATGGGTGAGAAATAAACAAATGTACTTTGCTTATACTCAACAGCATTGATCATCAACAAACTGCAAACTAAAATAGAAACAAAAACAAAGACCTGACAATATCAAGTGCTTCAGGGATTTGGAGCAACTGGAACTCTTACCCATTGCTGCTGGGAATATAAAATGATACAATCATTTGACACTTTTTCATAAAGTTAGCTGTATAATATGACCCATAAACTCCATTAGTATGTATTCCTTTAAGAGAAATAAACACTTACAGTCATATAAAATCCTGTACAGAAATGTTTATAACAGCTTTGTTCATAATCATCTAAAAACCAAAAACAACCAATATGTGTTTGCACTGATGACTGAACAGATACTCTTGTATGTCTATGTAACTGGGTACTACTCAGCAGTGAAAACAGTTGATAGATGCCATAACATAGATGACTCAAATGAATAATGCCTAATGAAAGAAATTAGGCCCAGAAGGATACCTACTATGATTCTATTTCAATGACATTCTGGAGAACATAAAGCCAGTGGGGCTAAAAATAGATCAGGGCTGTCAGGAGCTAAATGTAGAGGGAGAGTTTGTTTAAAAAGTAGTTGGATAATGAAATTTTGGAGGATGATTGAGCTGTCCTGTATACTGCTGGCTGTGCTTGATACATGATTCTATGAAAAGTCAAAACAGGAATGTATATCAACAGAGTTCAGTTCAGTTCATCACCAACTACTGGAGCTTGCTCAAACTCATGTCCATGGAGTCAGTGATGCCATCCAACTATCTTATCCTTTGTTGTCCCCATTTCCTCCTGCTTTCAGCGATTCCCAGCATCCCATCAGGGTCCTTTCTAAAGAGTTAGTTCTTCACATCAGGTGGCCAAAGTAATGGAGCTTCAGCATTAGTCCTTCCAATGAATATTCAGGGTTGATTTCCTTTAGGATTGACTGGTTTGATCTCCTTGTAGTCCAAGGGACTCTTCAAGAGTCTTCTCCAACACCATAGTTCAAAAACATCAATTCTTCAGCCCTCAGCTTTCTTTTGGCTTCCCTGAGAGCTCAGTTGGTAAAGAATCCATCTGCAATGCAGGAGACCCAGGGTCGCAAAGAGTCAGATACAACTGAGCAACTTTCACTATCAGCTTTCTTTATAGTCCAACTCTCACATCCATAATTTACTGGGAAAACCATAGCTTTGACTAGACGGACCTTAGTCTGCAAAGTAATGTCTCTGCTTTTTAATATACTGTCTAGGTTTGTCATAACTTTTCTTCCAAGGAGCATCTATTAATTTCACCATCTGCAGTGATTTTGGAGCCCAAGAAGGTCAAGTCTGTCACTGTTTCCATTATTTCCCCATCTATTTGCCATGAAGTGATGGGACTGGTGCCATGATCTTAGTTTTCTGAACGTTCAGTTTTAAGCCAACTTTTTCACTCTTCTCTTTCACTGTCTTCAATAGGCTCTTTAGTTCCTCTTCACTTTCGCCCATAAGGGTGGTGTCATCTGCATATTTGAGGTTATTCATATTTCTCCCAGAAATCTTGATTCCAGCTTGTGCTTAATCCAGCCTGGCATTTTGCACAATGTACTCTGCATATAAGTTTAATAAGCAGGGTGACAATATACAGCCTTGATGTACTGCTTTCCCAATTTGGAACCAGTTCTTTGTTCCATGTCCAGTTCTAATTGTTGCTTCTTGACATAGTAATTTTAGTGTATGCAGATTAAAATATATATGATTTGTTAAAAAGATAACTAACTACTATTATTTCTACATTTGCCTATAAGAAGTTTTTCATTGCAAGATGAACCATTATTTACTATTTAAAAAGGGGGAAAAACACTCATTAATCTATAGCATGACAATGACTCTAAAATGTATCCTGATTTCAAAATTGCTATGTGAAAAATATATATTTTAAAATAAGTATCATATGACATTCACAAATTGGAGCTTAGTCTCCATCAAGTCATATACCCCAGTAGTTTACTTTGAAAAATAAGTACTAGATGCTTGAACAAGAGAGATTACCCATTTGTGGAGGGCTGGGACTGAGTGAGCAAGGAACCAGCTGTTTCAAACAAGGGACTGGAGTGCTTTTAAACACAGCAAATGTCAGGAAAGGCAGTTGCTTCCCTCTGCATCCCCATATTCTGCCAAATGGTAACAGGGGAATCAGACTTCTAACCAGGGTTATTCTCTGAGTCCTGCATAATTATGATTACCTTTCATTGAGTATGAGATTGAAGCTACTATATTAGTCCTTAAAAGTGCTTAGTGTAGCCATATCTTTATAAAAGAGAAATTAAATAAATTTCATTTCAAATATTTTTTTAAAAGACCAAATGCAAAATGTTAAGCTAGGATTGTCTTTTATAAATGTACCTCCTTTAAGGGAAATTCAATATATAAATTATCCTAGAAATATATGAATTAGAGCAGCCTGTTATAAGGACATCTGATTGCTTACCTTAAATAATAATTCATGCTGCTGGTCCTGCTGCTAAGTCGCATCAGTCGTGTCTGACTCTGTGCAACCCCATAGGTGGCAGCCCACCAGGCTCCCGTCCTTGGGATTCTCCAGACAAGAACACTGGAGTGGGTTGCCATTTCCTTCTCCAGTGCATGAAAGTGAAGTGAAAGTGAAGTTGCCCAGTTGTGTCCGACTCTTAGCGACCCCATGGACTGCAGCCTACCAGGCTCCTCCGTCCTTGGGATTTTCCAGGCAAGAGCACTGCAGTGGGGTGCCATTGCCTTCTCCGAATAATTCATGAAAACCCCTTTAAATAATAAATGTTTCACTGTGGTTTTAAACACCTCCTTTTAGCAAAATTTGATTTTCATGTGTTTCTTTGAGAACTTCTACCATAAGTTTCATCTGTAGATGAAAAGTCAAACTTTGTGCATTTTATCTAAAATAAATAAATTGCTTCACACTTTAATGAAGCCTATAGTTGGTGGAGGTTGCTGTGAACTTCAGAGTGACTAATTTGGTTATGTAAATAGTACAGGCTTTGTGCCAGAGACAACAAATACTTATATCTTGGCAGAAACAACAAAGACTGTAGAATTTCTAACCATCTCAAAATTAGTACTGGTACTTTATGATATTAATATATAGACACAATTCACACCATCACCATTAGTGTTTGATATATATTGTACACATACACAAAGACAGAATGAATAGATCCAATTAAACAAAAACTGGAAATATACTTAGGTCATAATTTTTTGTGTGATCAATGCACACCCAAACTGCTATTTATTCAATGGTGTTGTGCTTTATGACATTAATGTACTCCTCAAGTCAATGTTCTATAAAATTGTTTTAAATCTTGAATGAATTCTTCAATAAAATAATGAAACCTTTTGTTATGTACAGTTTTATTTAATGGTGTTGCTTGTCTATATCTTGAATGTTGAATTTTTTCATAGCCTAACAGTATTCAGAGACATGCAGACAGGTAGATACAACAGTTTTTCCCTATTTTCAGGCTCATTATTTTGTTAAGTGCAACTTTTTCCAGGAACAGAATTGGAATTTTTTTCCCCTCAAATTCTAATGAGATACTCGAACCAAACATTGTGAAGAGTGTTCTATCCAGTAAAAAGAATCTGGATTTCTTATTCCTAAATAATGAAATGATGTTGCATATGTGAAATAAAAAGGCAGATGATACAATGAAGTATTACATGTGCTTAATATATATTCATTTATTAATGCATATGCCAGAGGATTGCACTGTACTATGCATTTGAAGACATTATTAACAAAGCACTTGCCTATCAATTTAACATAAATTAGTGGATCTTGCTGTCTGTGGTTTCATACCCAGTAACAGCATGGTTCTGGGAGTCATGATACTTTTCACTTGTTCTTAACATATTGGACCAGCCTGTTCACAAAGCAGTCACTGTTAACAGGGTCTTTATTTTGCATGTATATGTTGCCCACTAACAGTTATGACCATAAGTTACAATTACAAAGTACTGTTCTACAGCCAACTATTTAGGTACAGACTCTAAAAAGTCAAATCATAAAAATAGAGAAAGTGCAAATATTTATAAACTATTTCATATTCAAAATCCAACCTAGTTATATTTTTGTCTACTGAGCTGTAATAAGTTGTTTTCCTATTGCATTGTATGCATCTTGGGCTTATAAATAACATAAATTACAAAATTGTAAGCAATTTGTTCAGACTTCATTTTGCATTTTTCACTAAATAGCTGAAGACATGACTTTTTTTCTCCAGTGCAATATATAATAATGCTGCATTCAGTACAAATTGTTGAATATTTCTAAAAAGGAAACATTTAACTGATTATAGCACTCAGTAAAGAAGGAGTTAGTCATAACTGTCAGAAGGAAAACACTAACAGTATAGTTAATTATCACAGGTAATTTTAAGAAACAATCCTTCCATCGTACTTCTAAACCAGTAATCCTATGATTTTCTAAAGAATGAAATTTGGTAAAGCCAAGACATGCTAGATGGCAAATGCTTCAACTTACCTCTTTTTTTTTTTTTTTTTTTTTTTTTACAAATGTGATGTGACCTTGGCAGTTTTAAGGAACAAAGTTTTGTTGATATATCAAACATGTTAACAAACTATTTAGCATTGCTTTGCATAAGTCTGCTTTAAGAGCATTTCTTCACAGTGATATTTCAGAAAGGTTGGAAACTGGTCAGCATAAAATATTTCCCACCTTTTCTATTTTATTTTGTATGCAAAAATCATCACAATATATCTGCAACTATAAAATTACAAATGCTTTCGAGAAGTAACTGCATGTCTAGTCATGGTAGAAAAGGGTATTCGTAAGACATCTATTATGAGGTAAGTCTAAATAAAACAGAATTTGAGTAACAAATGCTTTCATATCTACCAGATATATAAACCAACATAACAAGGATTAACTAATGGACAAACTCAAAAGACTGTGTTTTAGTATGTTTAATGGATGAGAAATTGGTAATGAAATAAACATTTTAAAAGATACTCTGGATATTTCACTGAACATCATGATTTTGGCACTTCATGGAACATTGATTTCTCAGAGACCAGAATTAGTATAAAAGTTCTGCAGTTTTCCCACATACCTTGTAGACATTATACTTGAGCACTGGCAAACACTGAAATGTAGTGAAATAAACATTCCCCTGTATTTGCACATGCATGCAGTAGTCAAACAGTTTGTGAATTCTCAGAGATGCTATCTTGGGGTATGGTATTGTTTCAAGCATTCTCTTCACCAGATCTTGTTTCAGATTTAAGTCTTACAAATTCTTTAGCCACATCGTCACTGGTCCTCTGAGAGAGGATTCTAAGAATAGTCAAACCGGTTTCATCCATAGAGACATTTTTCAAAAGGGGATACCATGCCCCGTGGCTCCCCTTTTCGGCTATATTCTGGAGCTGAATTACTGTCATTCCGATAATTCGATCTTCTCTGGCAAAGCAGTAATCTTTAACCGAAAGGTGGAGTTCATAGGCTCCTGGGCGGTTTTCTTTATTCAGAGTGCTGTGTGGATTAAAAACAGGGATTTTGAGCATTTTCAAATAGGGATTGATATGGTTCTAAGAGACTGTGGAAAATTTTATACATTGTTTAGAATGTTGTATTGGCAAATAAAGTATCATTGCATTTTAACTCTGCAAATATTCTTTAAATTTTCCTTAGAATGTATTTACATTGCTATTACTCAGCAATCTAACTTAAAAACTCCTTCTTTTCCTAGATAGAAATAGGAAATCAATCTAAAAATGCTTGACTGCTCCCTGATGTTAAGGATATTGCTAGAAACTGGAATTAAAATATTATGTTGTCATTAACCATTGCGGGCAAGGTCTACCCAGTGATACAGGGGTAGGAGGGGTTACCAAGGGTCATGGAAGCTAGGCTGGGGGGAGGGGTACCTTTTGGAAGAGTTTCTGTGCCATTGTTTCAGCATCCATTATTACCAATTCCTTTCTCTACCTCAGACTCCTGGATAAGCTATTATATATAGGAGCCTTATTCTCAGGGAAATACACTGCTCAGACTATCAAGCACTATTCATAACATGCTAAATTGGATACAAATCTCCAGAGTAAATCAGTTCCAGCAGTGCCTGGTGCTTCAGTGCCAGTTTTTTTCGTATGGCAACTGTTAGACCTGTCAAGATTGGGGCTGAGGCCGGCCTCTTCTAATAATGACCCAAGACAGCCTGTCAACGCAGAACTGAACCTAATGAAGAAGGCTGAGTGGTGAAATGCTGAGGATAATCCCCCCTGTCCCTTATTTTAATTCCTCCTCAGATAGTCCTGACTTTCTAATGAACATACTTCTATTCCTCAGTGGTAAACGCTTCCAGATTGCTTCCTTTTCTAAGTGACTTTTTTCTGATCAAATATTTTGCCAAGTCAGACTTTCACTTCCAGGAGACATGGACAACTAACCTGTGTACTTATTTTAGAGACAGCCTGAAATGACACTCAGGAAAATGGAATCCTGGGGGTGAAGAATAGAATGGCAAAATATGACAGGCTCTGGGACTTCTTGTGAATTAAAATGAGTCAAAATGCTGCCTATCCCCCAGAATTGTGGTCTTGGTAGCTCATCGCATTATATCTGAATTTTGCATTATTCAGGTATTTCTAGAACCTTTTGGAAGACTTTTTAAGTGGATCAAAGTTTTTGTGTAATTTGGAGGAGTAGATAGGTGGACTCTTGTGAGCTGGTTTGTTAGCAGGCATTATTAGAACCCTTTTAATAGACGTAGTAGGATAGTTAAGTTTTAATGAGTGCTAAGAGTTAATTATTCAGAAAACAGTGCTGAAAGGTCTCTGGGAAACCAAAAATGTGAAATAACGAAGAACAAAAGCAGTAAGGTAAGCTTGGTAAGTGTGCATGCATGCAAGGTGTGTATGTGTGCGTGTGCGTGTGTGTGTGTGTGTGTGTGTGTGTGTGTGTGTATGAAAGTCCCTAGGGCTTTGACTTATGTTCCCTTCCCCTCGGCTTCTTATCTGTCCCTAGGTCAGCTCATCTAGATTTGTAGAATTAATTGCATCTATATACAGATAATTCTCAATTTATATCTAACCATATATTTGATATGTCCTCTTGGATGTACAATACCCATCTCCAGATTAATAGATTTAAAAGAAAATCTTTGCTTTCCTCATGGCCTGTCCCTACTCTCCCATCTCAGCAAGTGAATATCTACCCAACTGCTTATGCCAAAAACTAGGAGTCATCCTTGATTTCATTCAGTGCCAGGTAACTTCCATTTGCTCCACCTGGATCAACTCTGCATTCTTCTCCTTGTACTTTGCAGGAGGATGCTGACCTGAAAGGACTGCACCCACTGAGTTTCTCTGTGCTCTGGCTTCCAGTGGGATTTAGCCAAAAGAGAGCATCGGTGGACTCAGAGATAATGATGCGAGTGAGGGCAGACTTTATTTCTTTGGCTTCTTGCCTGTGAGGCTCTTCAAGTAAGCTGTTTGTCTCCACAGAAGGTCACTTTCCTAGTAAGTGAGTGACTACATATGAAGTTTTCACAGTCCCAATTTTAGTAACAGCTCTTCTCCTTTAGTTGCAGTGGTGTAATAACCTGGCTACAACTAGCCCCATTATTTTCTCAGGTTCCTATTTAAAAATCAGAGAGGCTTCCCTGAACACCTCACCTTAGCAGCAAGACCACCCTATCACACTATTTTAATACTATGCTTAGTATTCACTATCATACGACAGCTTTTTATTTGTTTATGATTTTGTTTATCAAATTTTCTTAATATCTAGAGTGTGACTTCCATGAGAGCAAAGCCCTCCTATGACAGTTTTCTTCATTTGCCTTGGATCAGTGATGAACAGGGATCCTTAAACCTATAGGTTTTACTCTCCTTAGCAAAGCCCAGGGCCATTCCTACTCTGTGAGTCCCTCTTAAGTGTAGCTATACGATGCCTGTTGCCTGGTTGAGCAATGGAGCTGGGCTGTAACTTACAACTGAAATGTTTCATTATACTTTGGTGACCATGTGTTGCTTTTTGTTTTTGTGCCTTGTTTTCTCTTCTTGTCTCCGAGGTTGGGTCCCAGCATACAGACTTCCACAAAGGGGCGGAACATTGCCGTGGTCTGCCAGTTTAAGTCATTAATAGCAATCACTAAAAAACAGAAGGAAAAGGAAAGGAATATGAAGTGTTAGCAAACCCATGTGTGGAATCCTAGGCTTTCCCTTTGATTTTTAAAGTGGATACTTATTTTTAAAAATAATGTATGAAGCTGTGACTTGAGTTTAATAACACCCTAACCCCACTGACGAGGACTAGGAAAAATAATTTTCTCTCTGGACCATATGCTTGATAGGGCTTTCAGCTCTAAGCCATGTGGTGCTGGGATGGCAAAAAGCTGTAATTAAAATGACAATTGTTACTATTGAAAAGTTATGACTCTTGTTCAGATGAAAACATGATGCTTTTCATATTAAAATTATGATATATTCATGAAATATTTAGAAAACATACAGAAAATAGATTAAAAGAAAAATCTATAATTTTATCACTCAGAAGAAATCACTTAATATTTTGGTGTGATGCTTTCAATCTTTATATAGAGAATAGGATCATAATGTATTGCAGTCTTAAAAATAGTTTCATTTTTTTAAGTCCATCATGGATAGCATTGTAATTCATTATATATTTTCCAACAGAAAATATTTAATTATGTGTAGATTTCATTCAATATTCAACAAATCACTTGATGCATGTTATAGCAGTTTCCTAATTTCAGGCATCATAAATAATACTTAAGTGAACATTCTTATACATATGTCTTGGTTCATTCTTGGATGATGGTGATGGTACCCTTAAGGAGGTGTCTTATAATTAAATTTGCTAATTCAGGAGGTTCATAAAACTTCTAGCATTTGGTATACATCAGCAAAATATTTTTTGAAAAATGTTTAACAACACTGGCATATATAGTCATGCCCACTTATCTGTATGCTTATTAATACCATATATAATCTATTATATACAATAACAGTGTTAGTTTAGGTAGTGAAACTTTGAAATATATTAGAAGGCCATGGTTTTGATTAAGATAGATACTATTTAAAGTGACTGTCCATGATAATATAAAAATAGAACATGGTTCTATTGAGCAAAGTATTAATCATTAAATTACATCTTCAAAATGACCCCTGAATTCAGATTTCATTTTTATAATATAAAGTCAATTGATTCAACCACCCATTAAAAAAAATCAAACCAGTTGTTGGAAATCACATAGAAAAAGTAGGTAGATTATGTGGATAGTAAGAATGTACTGAGTTAACATCTAAAATGTCATTGGTAAGTTGGAGGCAACCACTGCCTCAACCATAGAGAACACAGTCATACAATTCTGAAATGTAATCATCAATGTATTTAAACCATTTAGACTTTTCAAGTAATATAGGTTAAATAGCTATGCTATTAATTTCTTTGTTTAAAATAAAAAGTTTCAGATTCATAAAGGTATTCTAAGCATGCCCTAAAATAATTTAATATCGATTTAAAAAAACAGGGTTTCCAGAAAAAAACATTTTGGATATAATTATTTTTTGAGAGGTTAAATTCTTATAGGCTGTTTGATCTACCTGAACCCAAAATATACCTTTTACAGTGACTTTATGCTCTCCGGTTCCTGGAGTGGCGGTGATGTCCACATGAACAGATATCTGGCCCACTGAATCTTTGGAGGGGCGACCTGCAAATCAGCAAAAGTTTAGTGGCCTGACTTTTCAGACCACTTAATAAGGGACATTGATATTCTGTGCATCGGGGACTTTAAAGTGTGATCGTGAAAACAAATTGTTCTTTTTGTTAACAGCACATAATTGATACTGATACATGTTCACTAAGTTAAATTAGCTATGCAGGTTTGAGTCTTGGGTATAATCATATTTACCCCATTTAGCTAAACTTTCACACAGTCTTCAGATACCATAAGGCATCCTATTAGTATTACTATTGTTAAAAAGAAAAAAAACAAACTTGAAGTTGCCTTACTCTAGGCACTTAATAAAGCTCTCCTCGTCACTTACGTATGAAGACGTGTCACTGCCCTTCATTCCTTTCGGAAGTGCTCTCTTGAGTGGGCCACGCCAGAGCAGCAAGGATACAGAGACGGCTCTGCAGAGCACCTGCCCGCATGAGGCCCACACTCAGGACCGGGGCGAGCGAGACACACACACTGCTGCACATCGTGTGATGCACTCTAAACAGGTGCGTTTATAATTTGATGATGTACAAAGGAATAATCAACTCCACCTTGATAAAGGTTAGTCAAGGGTTAAGAAAATTGTATTGGAAAGTGCCTGTGATGCCACACCTGGTTCTGTGATGGGAATTTGCGATGTTCTCAAGTCTTGGTTTTCTTATTTGTGAAATAGGGATAACTGCATCAACCTCATATACACACATACACACACCTATTAACGTATCGTCTGTAAACATATACTTTTTTATCTCAAATAGAAACACATACTCTAATTATCCTTTACCTTACCTTTGTCTTTTTACCTAAAAATGTATTAAGATCATTCCATTTCCACATATACAAAGCTATGTCCCACTCTTTAATATGGTCTGGGATATCACAGCATTAACTGCAAAGTCAAGATTTCCTGAATACTTGCTTAAAAAACAAATCATTAATCTGCTTACAAATAATGGAAACATTAAAATATTTAAAGTAATATTTAGCCCTTATTTGGACATACCACTATTTATCTAAACACTCTTTGGTTGTTTCTAGTCTCTTGCTCTTATGAACTATAATGAATAATTATTTTCATGTTTACAAGTTTATCTATAGTATAATTTCTAGAAATGGTATTTGTCAAATGTAGGTGGAACCTCATTTTGCCCCATAGAGATTTTAACCATTTGCAATATATATGAGATTAATAAGAATCTTATTTTCATGAAATAAATGGCTAATGACTAAGCTGAAAAGAAGAGATTCTAAGAGACTTCCAGTTTCTAACTTGAGAAAAAAAATCACTGCATTTCAGCCAGAACCTCTTAACAGGATCTGCTGAGAAAACCTGGTTCACCACAGCATCACTCTCACCCCCACCCTGCCCCACCCATTTGTTACTAAAAGGACTGAAAGACAGAAAGTGATCACTTCGGGCATTAGCCAAGGAGCTGCTCATTGATCTGTGAGAAGTGTTTCCTTTTCCTGAAGTGAAGAAAATTCCAAGAGAAGTACTCCTAAAGTACTTGCTGAAAGTGCCAGCTAGATGAGCATTCATTTTTTAATTGGCTGCCTACTTAGCAGACAGTATGACCTGAGCACGGCCGAGTTGGGGACAGCGAGCCACACTGTGTGCCGGGACCTCCCTCTCGGCTTAAGGTCACAGTTGCTGAGAAATATGGGAGGTGGCTCCTGGATGGGCTTGAAGTGCCAGTGTTCGGGGACAAGAGAGGGAAAATGTGACCATACGCTCTGGTTTTATCAGGGATTGTCGCCGACATGGTGAAGAGGCAAGCATCTCAAAGGAATGTGTGTGCCCATACACCCAGGTGGGGTGCAGCAGGAAAAAGTGGCCAGGTCTTGAGTCTTGGAAGAGTTCATCAATGCCCTGGGGAACTATTTGAAAATACATTTCACACCAGCTAGTTCTACCAAGCTTGTACTTCCCCTAAGAGAAGCATCTGGAAAAGTTCTACTACTGAGTAGACAGTGACCCTTAGATAGATAATGACTACTAATGGTCACCATTGCAGTTGTTTTTATATTTACTTATTTTTACTTAGAGGATAATTGCCTTACAATATTGTGTTGGTTTAAATAAAGATTGATCTGTCTCTTTTCTCTCTTTCTCTTTTCCTCAATATCATGGAAATTGCCTCCAGGAGAAAGAGGAACAGGGCACATCAGAGAAGCCATGGCTTCCTTCTCCTTTCCTCCTCCTACTGCTAGAGTCACTGTTTTCCTGTTTGTAGAGAGAAAAAGAGAGCTTTTAATCCAATAACTAATTAAAACTTTAAGGTGAGCAGAACAAGGTCTTAAAAACCTGAATAACCTTCAACAGTGCAAGTAACTGACATGGTGTGTACCCAGATGTTGATATCAGTAAGGGAGGTACCTATGCAGTAGAAAGTAGGACTCAAGAGGGACTGATAATACTTTTTGGGAAAATAAAATAGTTTGACATCATCCCTAAACTGGTGACATCCTTATGATATGAAGAATAGAATATATCTTGCCATTATTTCAGTCTCCTTTTGTGTATTCCAATTATGCTTTACATTTTTCTTCATGTGAATATTGAACAGTTAAAAAGCTTATTCCTAGTTATTACATCTCATTCTTTTTTAAATCAGACCCCTTTTCCATTATATTGGATAACAGGAAGGCTAGTGATATTTGTATATTTTTTTATTCAGTCAACTGAATTTTTAATGAAATATTTTCATGACTCGTTTTGAGTTTTGTTAAGTATATACATGTATTATTTTCAATGAATTGCACTTCTCCTTTCCAGTTTTTATACCTTTTACTATTTGCCTTGGCTAATTTTATTGGCTTATATTTCTAATACTATATGCCGTGACAGTGTTAAAAGTGGATATGCTTGTTATCCTTCATTTGGCTCTCCAGATTCATTTTTCACCCTTCTCCACTCTGTCCTCTGCCCCTAGATGGACAAGTCAGTGGTCTCTATGCTCTATAGATGATGAGAAGTCCTGGCAAGATATGGGGAAGAGGGAGTAGACCCAGATCAGATATTTATTTCTTTAGTTTCCTTCCTATGGTGTCACCATTTTGCTGGAAGAATCCTGCAACCAAAAAGCCAACATGGCCCTCATCAACCCTCAGCAGGTGACAGTCTCATTCCTGGTTCTCGGCGCTTTTCCCTCCCTTGTTATTTGTTTCAGTGCAGTTAGTTTACTACTCTTTCTGGTCTCTTTATATCCTGCCCATTTTTTGTCAATAGTTTCTCCACTGAATCTTTTTCAAATAATCTTAATTTGGGTGTGCCATCTGATTCCTTCTGTGACCTTGGCTAATAGAGTTAACATCTTTGATTTGCTCATAACGTTAATGGAAATGTCTAGTATTTTTGCAATATTCTTAGGTCTTGAACATTGAGACAATCTTTGTAGGGGATAAGATGTAAAATATGGACATTCACTGTTTAACAACTATTATCATGATGGATTTTTTTCAGGGGAGAAAATGCTTTAAGAGGCTCTTGAAAGTTTAGTTGAAATTCACTTTTTTTTTTTTAGACAGAGAAGCAAGAAATAGCATGTGCCTATATGTGGATGCGTAAAACAGAATGGTGTGTCCTGGAAACTGTGAGGAGTTCAGGATGTATGAAGCATAGATGAAGTAACAATAGGAATGTTAGAGAAAATGTTGGTACTTTGAATGTCATTTAAAAATTGTTAGACATTATCTTGGAGCTACTGAGAAGTCTTTTAAGATTTTGGCTATGGGTAGCATAGTCAAATTTAGGTTTTGAAAAAATTTGTCTCATCTGTGTTAAAGATCATTTTTTATTACTGCAATCCCTTTTGGAAAACCTCCCACTTGCATCCTATTATACCTTGAGTCAAATCCCAAAACCCAGCCCTTTGCTATGATGCTTCTGATGACCCCTCCTTCATCAGAACTTCTGGTCCACGCTGTCTTTGGCTTAATTTCTTCAAACTTTTCTTTATGTTTTCATCAACTGAAAACAAGTGTTTAGAACATCCTTACTCCACCATCCAATGAAGCTCTGTCCAAACACCTCTACACTAAAATATTTTCATTTCTTTTTTTACTATTCTAGAAATAATCTGCGGTTATATTTTTGATCTCCTCAAACACCATTATACATAGACCATGATGTTTATGGTGCCCCTTGAGTTATAAGACATGTATAACAAAGTATAAAGTCCCTGGGCAATGAAACCAGACTTCCCTGATCATGAATCTGTCTGTCACACATTAACAGTTTAAAACTGTGAATTTGCATGTCCTTATTTGTAAAGTGTCGATAATCCCATCTACCTGGCAACATTATAATGAGGCTAAAAAAGGATAATTTTGAAAAATATGTAAGATATTATATGCCTTGCACGTAAGAGCTCCTGGTAAATGAATGCAGGTTTATGATAATAATAATTCTTAAGAGTATTCCAAAGTTATTAAATACCTTGAAGATTCATAGAAAATTAGAAAAATCCATTGACACTATAGTTATCTAAATCAAATACTGCTGTAAGACAAAAGCAGAGTGACTAGAGTTTTCCCCAACAACTTTGGAATTCTTAGTTTCTTTGGTAAAATTTTCTGGGTTGAGTACACTAGAGATGGAAGGTTTTTAAGAGCCCTCATAGGGGATATTCTTTCCCACTATGATGTAAAACCTTTTGTTAACCAAGAATTCTGTGAAATGAGTTTTCTTGATTGCTAAAGGTTATATTGTTTGTTTAACTATTGTTGAAATCACAGTAAATGAGAGACAGTGAAAATACATCCAGGTTGTGTATTTGTCTCTGTTGTTACACTAAAGATCAGAGCCTGCTCAGTATGTGGGTTTGTGATCAAGACTTTTATGGGTGGTCATGTCAGTATTACCATAAGCAGTCATGTAGCAATGGCTGGTTTGTTTGCAGAATAAACAAGTGATGGTCAGAAAAGTTATTGACTCAACAAGGTTGTAAATGAGAAAAGCTTTCCATCAAAGCGCTCACGAGGAGGTG